CCCCCCCCCAAAACAACACTGAAAACAATCAAAACACTCAACCAGTAAAGAACTGTTTAAAAAGGTTGAATTAGAGCCATCTACTTAAATACAAGCAGCCTTCACAAAGAATAGCGGCAGTCTTTGAATACTATGGAAAGGTGCCCAAGATCTACATTGCTGGGCAAAAAAACAAAACAAAGCAAAAAACCACATAAAACCCCACCCATATTACAGATAAGTACACATGGTATGAACCCATTCATATAGAGCTGGGATTGGCAAGCTACAATTCACAAGTGCCCTACCTGTTTTTGTAAATAAAGTTTTATTGGCGCACAGTCACGCCCATTTGTTTACATACCGTCTGCAGCTGTTTTAAGCAGCAGAGTTGAGTAGATGCAACAGGGACCATCTGGCCTGCTCAGCCTAAAATATTTACTATCTTGCATTTTACAGAAAAAGTGTGCCAACCCCTGGTCTGGAATTTACATTACTTTATACTTACATAAAATATCTGCTATGAGACAAGCAGCCATTATCTGTTATCATTAATGGTACTCAGGGGACGGTAGCAAGAGAGGATGGTAAACCTGAGAGTACATCTTCTATGCTCCTGTATCGTTTGAGTTTTTCCTACCAACGGGTGTTACTTTAAAAACAGACAGAAATGAAGAGATTTCCCTTTCAAATTTAGAAAGGCGGGCCCATGGCAGGGGTGGGTGGTGACGGTGGTGACGGTGGGAGCAGGTGTGGAAATCTGGCTGCAACACCTTCGCTCACAGTGTTACTTCGAGGAGAAATGGGTACTTTTTAGGCCCTTCCGGTAAAGGCTGGTTCACCTTGGCCTCTCCTGAGCTGTTTCGGATTCTCTGTCACGTGCTTTGAATTCATCCCTGGGTCTGGACACCACCCCACGCCTGCTCTTGCGCAGCGGGCTCTTAACCTTTAGGTCTCTGTGGCGGGGTCCCCTGCTCAGCGAGGCCTTCACCTTGACCCGCTATCGCTCTCAAGTGGGCTCCTCGTCGCTCTTGCTCAGAGTAGCCCGATCTTCCCTAACCTCCTGTGCTTGTCACTTCTGGTTCATCTTTACCGCCTCCCTCTCTCCCTCCCCTCTCCGTGCCCTCAGAGTGGGACGGTGACCATTCTGCATTGTGTGCCCTCCGAAACCCGCCCAGGGTGTGGCATGAAGTAGAAGATCAACGAGCATTTCTCAAGCGAATGACTGGGCTCTACACCTGTGCATAGATGTCCCAGCCTGTCCCCGCCCAGGAAGAGGCCACCACACCTGCTAGGCGATGAGAATGAAGGTCCCCGCCCACCTATTCTGCTGACTTCTCTGGCCTGGGGAAAGGCAATAACCTCTCTGGGGCTCATTTTTAACAACTGCATCCAAAAGACAGGATTCTCCTCGTCTCCTTTGTTTCCTTCTAGCAAAGGGGGCTAAATTCAGATGAGAAATGCCTTAAAGCATGGTCTCACAGAAATCCACAAATGATGTGACTGCATCCAGAATCATCTCCCAGGAGGCCTGTCCAGAGGTGGCTAAGACACCCTGGCCACCTTCCAGGAGCAACTGAGCAGAGACACTGAGAAACCTCTCATTTCTGCCTTATGATTAGGTGGGTTGCCAGCACCAGCTCCTTGTCTGTAATAGAAATGTCTGTCAATGTAGGATGTGAACTCCCGGAGTCAGGGCTTTGCTCTGTTCTAACAGCGTCTGGCACATAGTAGGTTCTCCCTAGCTATTTACTGAGTGAACAAATAAATATAACTTCCTGATCTATCCTAGCCCCTTATGAAAAGCCTAATTCTACCACACTGCTCCATGAACACTTGGCTTCAGCCTGGTCAATCTGATGGTCCTCTGAGATTTGGAACTGGGATATGAACTGGGAAGTGATTCAAAGTCAAGAGTGAGGCAGCTACTCTTGTCTCCGGAAAATGGAGAAGCAATAAAATTAATCTGCAGAGAGAGGAGAATGGAGCAGATACTCAGGAAGGAGCAGGGAGGAGACTGAGGGGTCCTGGAGACAGGGGGTAACTTCAACCTGTGACTCTCCCATCCTAATTTCAATGTTATACTTCCTGCCCTTGGGCTCTTGTATTCTAAAAATATATTCCCTTTTGGTGTTCAGTTTGAGTAAGTTTTTGTTATCTGTACTGTTAAAACATAGAACCCCTTTTAGCTTAAGTTAGTTTGGCAGCTAGCTGTATTTCTTATAATAGTCTTTTTTGCATCAAGTTGGTTTGAGTTTCTGTTTTTCACATTTTAAAAAATAATAAATTACCCCCTTCCCATTTTTATTTTATTTTTTTGCCTAAGTTGGTCTGAAAGGGTTTCTCAATTTGAAACTAAATGATCCCTAAGATGCAACCAAACTGCTCCTGCTTCCCACCTGGGAAGGTGACAGGGTGTGGGGAGACATCTGTTTGCCTGCCCTGGGGTGGGGGTTTGACCTCAGAGAGTGGTTTTCACTGGACTAAGCCCAGATGAGTTTGCAATATCTCTCCAGGTTACCCTGGACAAGGTGATTAGGGAGAAGTTGGCAGAGTTTTCCACCAGTAACTTACTATATCCAGGGATGGTGAAATGAAGTCGTCTTGTAAGGAGGTTGAAAGTGGTGACGTTGGGGGTGAAATTTTAGAATCTTCAACCAAGTAGAAGACTCAGGTGGGACAAGTCAGAAGTCACTCGGGTGGCTGCTAAGGCTTGGCTGGGGTTAAAGGATATTATCTGAGGTGGCTCCAAGTGCCACATTTGTGTGACTTTTTCTGGCCTTGCTCAGCTATTTGGGTGTGGACACAACAAGGCTACAGTTTTGAAAGGTTTACCCAATAGAAGGACCTCAGGCCTGGAAAACCGAGGGTACTGATGAGAGTGTGATCAGAAAGACGACCAAGAAGAAAAATGATGGTGATGATGATGACAGCGATGACGATGATGATATGACAGTAGGATGGTGGTGGGTGGGAGTGATGGGGTCCCAGGCTGTCTAAGTCGTGTCCTCTGTTAGAATTCCACCACCTGTGACAGTGTTTGCTCGGCTATCAGCACGTGGGGAAAGGTTTGCATTCAGGAGGGTTAGCGAGTGGCAGGTGTCTGCAGGAAGAGAGGACCAGGCCGGCCCCATGAGCAAAGACCACAAAACCTCCTCTAATCTGTGCACCGAGCATCTTCTAGAACTATATCTGACAAACAGAAGACAAATGACAGTTACGAGGACTTTGATGAATAGATGGTGTAAAGTGCTCAGGACAGTGCCAGCAGCTGGTAGACACTAAAATGACTATTATTATGATTGATGCTATTCGTGAGCTCATGCGAGGTATTCCTAGGAGTTGCCAAAAACATTTAATTGAAGAGCACTTCGAAAGGTTGCTGAGGTCCTACATTATGCGAGTGGGGGACATGAGCCAGAAACTTTTTATTTTTAACTGGTCATGTGACTGCATCTGTGGGCACAGGCTGACCAGGCTGGGTCACAGTAACAGTAACAAAATCGATCATCTCTATCTAGAGTATCCGTAGTGTGTTCAGCACATACTGGCTATTATGCTCAGACATATAACATGTAAGTATCTTTTAATTTTAACCTTCTGAAACATAATTAGATAGAGAGAGATAAAAGAAATGGTTTCCAAGAGATACTAACTTGCCAAGCTCACAAATCAAGTAAGAAATGGAGCTAGGATTTGGATAATGGTGACTGGGAAAATTAGGGTAGAAGAAACGGTCAAAAGGAGAGTAGAGGAGAGTGGAGTGCTTGAGAGCCTGGAACTACTCGTGCAACTATGAGCGACTATAACTACTCTTGTTTGAACATCATGGAGTGGGTGATGTGTGCCAGGCACCGAACCAAGAGCTGTGATGCATGAACTCATCGATCTTTACATTTTTGTGAGATAGGAATTATTCTACCATCATTTTATATATGAGGAAATGGAGTTTTCAAGAGGTTAAATTAACTTGCCTGAGTTCACATGACTGCTAAGTGGTAACCACGAGCCCTGAGCCCAGTCAAGCTGACAGTCTTGACCAGGCAGGGACTCTGCCAGTTCTCCTAAGCAGCTGCTTACTGGCACACAGCCACAGCCATTCCTTTGTATTCTGTCTTTGGCTGCTTTGGCACAGCTGAGTGGTTGTGATGGAGATGGTGTGGCTCACAGCCTACAATGTTTATTATTTGGTTCTTTAAGAAAAAATTTGCTGACCCCTGCCCTTGACCCTTACACTATTGAGCTTGTCTCAATTAATCCAAAAGCGTAATGAGAATAAAAGAACGGGGAACTGGAGGGATGAGAAAACGTGATCAGTAGGTATCAGAAAGTGTCCAGTCTACTGCGAGGTGCCAGACAGTGTCCTGGGACAGAGGTCCAGGCCCTGTGAACCCAGGAGTTTGATGATCTGGCCATAGGTGCACTGAAGTTATCCAGGATGGTAGGAGGCTGTAGGGTAGAGAGGGAGATCGAGCCTTATATTGGAACCCTCAGCAAATGCAGGGGGGCGGCCAAGAAGATGTTAGTGGATATGTGTGGGCTGAGGTTGTGGGACTGAAGAGCCAGGAAAGATACTCGTGGAAAAAGGAGAGAAGAGGAGTGAAAGAGAAATGAGGTGCAAAAAAAAGGGCTGGCCTCTTTTCCCCAGGCCTGGGGCAAAGGGGTGTGAAAGGCTAAGCCACCTGGAGGGCCACAGGGAAGGCAGGTGCTCTGCAGGTGGCAGGGGTGCCAGTTGGTGATTCAGCCCATTGTTCTTCTCCCTACACCAGGCCTTCCCTCTGGCAGGTCTGATGGGCCCTGCACTCAGTAATCTCTGCCACCAGGGCCCTTACCTGTGTAGTCGATGACAAAGCCAGCATTGCTCACGGATGCATCGCTGCGGAAGGCGAGGAAGAGGCTGTTGCTGCTGCTTTCAATGCGACTTGGGAGCTGGGAGCCATAGAAGCTTCCTATGAGAGGGCTGAGAGAGTCCCGTCCGTCGTAGATGTGGAGGAAATCATAGCCAGGCTCCAAGTTAAAGCTGGGGAACAAAAACATCCCACCCCCACCCCACCAAGGTCAAATAAAGGCTCGTATTGGGCACAGCCAAAGTTGGTTTAACATCTAAAATGCAATTACTATACATCGTATCATAGAGCAAGAGACAAAAACTACATGAGCCTCTCCATACAGCTTGGTATCTGTGGGGGACAGGTTCCAGGCCTCCCAGAGAGCAAGCCCAACACCCACTGACACCCAACCCAAGGGCTTCCTGGTGGTGGTGGTGGGGATGAAGCCCCAGTGACCTCCAGGTAGTGAGAAGATGGAAAAAACAGGCTTGGGGCGGAGGAGGCAGATTCCAGGGTCAGGACCCAGGAAACGAGCTGAAACGGAACATCCTCTTTAAAAAAATATTTTTTCAATTGAAATAAATTTGACATATATTGTTGTGTAAATTTTAGGTGTACAGCAAGTTGACTGGATACATTTATCTATGTGCAATATGACTGCCATTGTAGTGATAATTAGTACCTCTATCACCTCACATAATTAACATTTCTTTTTAGTGGTTGGAATAATTGAGATAGAGTGTCTTACTGAGTCTGGTGATTATAATACAATATTGTTTTTATTCACTAAACTGTGCACAGAGGAGAAAGTGAGTTACCAGCTCTACACACCCAGGGGTCAGCCAGGGTGGGTCCAGGACCCAGGTCTCCTCCCTGCCTCTGGGCTATGCTGAGCCTTCTTTCCCAAGAGGGAAAGAGCCTTCCAAGGAGCCACTCCCAGGCAGGAAGGGCCTGTTCCCACGTAGAACCCTGGCTTCACCCGTGTCCCTGAGCCAGCTCTCAGCTTTCCTGAAGGTCTCCTACCACCCTGCTCCTGGCACCCAGAGTTGTGCCTCTTTCTTAGCTATCCTCGCCATAGTGTGGGGAAAAATTATTTAAAAAACTGTCTCAGTTTAGTAAATTGAATATTAGAGTTCTTGAACGTAATGTGTCCCACTGGAATGGATAGAGTGAAAATGATGGAAAATACCAGGGACTGGCAAGAATGTGAAGCCTGTGGAGTTCTCATACCTGACTGGGTCCAACCTCCTCGGAAAACGTTTGCAATATCTACTAGATCATGTGCCCTCTGATGCTATGATTCCACTCTTAGGTATATATCCAACAAAGGCAATTGGTACTAATCAAGTATGCAAAGGCGAAAACAACAGAATAAAGGAAATGAGTTTGCAGAGGACAGATTTCTGATGCAAACTCAGTCAGAGCCCATCCACAGGCCCAGATACCCAGACACTCCATTTGGCTGGACTGAGAATGACATGCAGCTCCAACTGTTAGCTGAGACATGTGGCAGAGAGTGGGGGCCATACAGCTCTGGGACAGAGGGGTAGGGCCAGCAGAGAGATGGGTGAGGGGTAGAGCCAGATGTGCACAGCCTCCTTCCTACATGTCGCCGTCTCACACTGGGTCAGCTGCAGGGTCGCCCTGTCATTGCTGGGTTGTACCATCTTCTTGCTCCATGATTCAGCTTCCACCCATCTGCTCTTCTAAAAGTCACCAAGGAAGGGATTGGTGTGGGTCATTCTTGGTCATGAATTATAACTCCACCACATTCTAACTGCCTCTTCTGTCCCTGCCTTCCTTCAATCGGTTGATGTTATCTGAGCATCCCCAATATGCCAGGCACCGTGCAAGGCGCCCAGGACATGGGATATGTCAGACACCACCCCTTCTTCAAGGTTTGGTGACAGGGCTGAAGGAAGTGATGGGCGTGAGGATGACATAGCAAAGTCTAAAGTCTGTACAGGTGTGGGGGGTTCCCCGGGGAGGAGAAAATGAAGCTTTTGTGGGGACCAAGCTGGAGTCGAGCCTAGGGAGGTGAAAACACCCTCAGCAGTTGGACAAGGAAGGGAAAGGAAGTGGCTGTGCAGGGAGAAGCAGAGGCTTGGGAACGGCTAGCACTTCAGTCTGGCTGGAACTTGGGACGCAGAGGGGTGGGGTTAGAATGCGGTGGGGGGACCACATGGAGAGGAAGGCAGGGCCAGGTCACTCAGAGTGAAACTCAAAGTTTGGACCTTAATTTATAGGGAAGAAGGAGCCACGCAGGATTTTAAAATAAAGGATCTATTTGTTGTTTCTTTGTTTTTAAATTAAATGTAACCTACACACCACGAAATGATCATCTCTTAAGGGTACCACTTTACCAGTGTTGACACATGCATATCAAGACCCAGGATATTTCTGCCGTCCCAAGTTCCCCAAATGCCCTCTGTCAATCTTCCCCACCCCCAGAAGCCCCACCACATAGATTTTTTTATCACCATCTGTTAGTTTTGCCGATCCTAAAACTTCATAGAAGTGGAGTCATCCGTTATGTACTTTTGTGTGTGTCTGTCTTCTTTGGCTCAGCGTGATATTTTTGAGATTCATCCACACTGCATGTATCAGGAGTTCATTCCTGATTGCTGAGAAGCATTACCATACATTAAAATGGAAAATAGGGCGGTTACTGTAGCATTTTCACGTGACAAGACTGCTCTGCCAGCTAGCTAACGAAGAGACTGGCCGGGAAGGCAAGGTGGGGCCGGAGGAGCCAGTTAGGAGACGCTGGTAGCAACTTAAGTGGGAAATAACAGGGCTTCAACTAGGACAGAAGCCGGGAAGATGGACCAGAGCAGACAGTGTTAAGGCAGCAGAGACTCGTGCATTGGTCACTCACAGAAGAAGCGTGAAGGTGGATGACGGTGCCAGTCCCAGTGCTCAGAATGGAGCTCGTCTGGGGAGAAGCAATGCGCTTATGTGTTGCAGCTGAGGCTCCTGCAGCACCAGACAGAGGCATCCAACAGCTGGACAGAGGGGCCTGCAGCTCAGCAGGAAGTCTGGGCGGGTGGCAGAGGGGAGTCTGCCGTTTCTAAGAGGAAAGCCACAGGAGTGGGTGAGCCTGCCCAGGAAGGGGGTGTGGAGAAGAGAAACGGCCTGAGACATGGCCTGGCCAAGGAAGAGGGGCACGGATGGGAGCGGCGCACTCACAGGAGAAGCTGGAGAACCAGAGGGGGAAACGTTATAAAACCCAAGGGGAAGAAGCAGAGTAGGCACGGAGGGAGCGATCAAGAGGTGCGGGGGATGAAACATGGGAAGTCCCCTTTTGTTTAGCGAGCAGGAGTTCGCCGGCGCCTTTTATCAGAGGAGTTGCCGGCAGACCGGTGGAGAGGCAGAGGCCAGCTTTCGGTGGTTTGGGAGCGAACACGAGGGGAGGAAGGAGAGAAAAGCAGAGACAACTCTTTTGAAGAGCTTGTATCTAAAAGGAATAAAGGAGACAGTGGGGGAGCGAGATGGGGGAGCACGGGAGAAAAACCTGAGCCCGTTCGCAAGCTGGGGAGCGAGCTGGCGCAGCCAGGCGAGAGCAGAGAAGGAAACGCAGGAGGGCGGCAGACAAGAACGCAGCGAGGCCCTGCGCTCTGAACCTCAGCGCTTCAGAGGGAAAAAGAAAACCGAAAGAAAGGATAAAAGCTGCTTCATAAATGACGCTAGGGATTAAATAAGAATGTATGTAAAACCACGGAGCACTGTTCTGGGCACATAAGAGACATTCCATAAGTACTCGGGCCTCTTCTCTGGACTCCTACACCTCCCCTGGGCCGGAGGACTCAGAGCAGACCTGTGAATACTCACCCAGGGACCCAGGTCTGAACCCCTAGCTGCTCTGAACCCTTCGTCTCCCACCCTGGGAAAGGTACATACATGTTAAATACCAGCGCGATGACGTAGTCTGGCGAGACGGTCACTTTCCAGTCGCACTCCTTGCCTGGCGGGTAGGGCTCTGGGTAATTCGGAGACAGGATGACTCCCGAGGGTCCAGTCAGGTCTCCTCCACAGGGAGCTGAGGACAGAAGACAAGGGTAAGAGTCCCCTTCACTGGGTCACGTTTTAACGGGTACTCGTAGGTACAGTAGAGTTGACACCTGGCTCTGGAAGCCAAAGGGAGGGTGGAGTGTAATGGGTCGGAGGCTTTACCTTGAAGGGAAGGAGATGTTTTGGAACTAGAGGTAGAGACTGTACAACATTGTGAATGCACTAAATGCCATGGAGTCATTCATTTTTCAATGGCTAATTTTCTGTCATGTGAATTTCACCTCGAGGAACTACTCAAAAACAGAATTCCTGGCTCTGCCAGCTCCTGGCTGTGTGACCTTAGAGAACTAACCTAACCTCTCTGGGCCTCATGTCCTTCTATTGCAAAAAGAGGTACTACCTCCTTCATGAGGTGGCTGCAAAGATTTTGGAGATGTCTTAAAGCACTTGGCATACCGTAAGCAGTCAATACCTCGAGCCATCGCGCGTCTTTTAGACCCATGAAACACCTGGTCTCCTCCCACTGCCTCACATCCACTTTCCAGGTGAGCGCAGTGGGTATTTACCAAGAGTCCTGGTGCAGTCGGTGTCAGGAGTGGCAAACATTACCATGTTCACCTGCCAAGCGCGCCAGCCTCCTACACGGCCAGTGCTCTTGGCATCTGCTTGGGGCTGTGGATCCCTCTGACTTTCCAAAAGACCTTGTCCAAGAGAGCATGTATGCCTCAGTTGTATGGAGATATTACAAATCCCCAATTAGTCCATGGTGGTCTCCCTCCCCTGAGACGACAGGCCTTCCCAGCCTGAGGGAGAGGGAAGGTGGCCAGCGATCCAGCAGACTGCTCATGCAGAGAGCCCCAGGGCCCTTCCAGATCCTGAAACAGGTTCTGCACTAGTTGTCTGGTTATTGCCCTGCAGCATGAGTGTCCGATCAAGCGGCGGCTGGGACGTGCATGGGCTCATTAACAGGAAAAGATGGCCAAGACTATGTCTGTGGCTCGGTGTGAAAACCACAGTGCCTACTGGAGATTGGCAGTGAGGTGGGCAAATAGTGAGCCACAGGAGCATGGAGAGACATTCAAGAGGAGGCCAGGAAATCCAAGCCTGGACGTGGGGGTCAGAGCCAAGGGTGCATCCAAGAAGACTGAACAGCAACCGCTCGCCCGTCGCAGAGATGAGCAATATTTATTGCCTCTCGGTGCAGCTTTTACTCAGAGAGAAGCTTAAAGGGCTGGATCAAGTCCCACAGGTTCTCTTTAAAAATGGTAGGTCTCCGAGCCAGGCCATAAAAGTCCTAACATGGCTGAACAGAAAACCTGAGTGGTCATGAGTAGTGCTTTTCCATGGAAAATATATCTCAAACACCAACCTGAGTACCAGCAACACTCAAGTGGGCACCTATTAAATGTCAGACATGAGCTATAGCATTTTAGCTGCCTTACCTCATTTATGTCTCATCGCAACTCTGAGCTACGGACTATGCTTCCTGATTTAGAAAGGAGGAGCTGAGGTCAGAGAGGTTACGTCACTCGTCCAGAGTCACTCAGGCTCAAACCCACGTGTGTCTGGCTCCAGACTCCGTCATTTCCCCACCCTGCTCCACCACCTTGGAACTGCTGATGGCAGTGGGAGAAGAGAGGAGTGTCCCTCCCACGGGCCAGCAGGGGACAGGCCCTGGTACAAGAGCTTCTGTGGGTGAGGACGGCTCCTTGAGTCAGGTCTGCCTTGTATCTCACTTGCCTCCTCCCCACTGAGCCTTCTCTAGAGAAGATGACTGGATGATTGGGACAGACTAGAGGCCTGTATGATCGGAGTAAAACTGCACTTAACAAAGCAAAACCATGCTGTCCAGTCCACAGAGCGTGGCCTCACTCTGAAACACGGCGTGATGCAGACAGAGAGAGAACACCCGTCACATCAGCTGCTCAGCTCCCCGGGGATCTTCCCAAGGGGGCACAATGGTGGCTCCATTTGGGCCAGGGCTCCTGTGCCTGATGGGGTGAATCTGGGCATTACTGAAACTGCCTGTTTTTCTTCTGCCAAGCCCCAAATTTGGCAGATCATTCCAGGCCAGCTGAGAAGTGGGCAGGCTATACCGAGGGTGAGAGCTGTGACAAAGGCCATCAATTTTGAAGTTACACAGTCCTGGGTTTAAATTTTGACTGTGCCACTTACTAGCTGTGAGTTTGGGCAAGTTACCCCACCTCTCTGAGCCTCCATTTATATTTCTATAAAGCAAACAGAGCAGAACGGTGGTGGCAATGGCTTCTGACGGTAATGGTTTCCACTGTATGCCGTGTTTACTACGAACCAGGACGGGTGCTAAGAGCTTTACAGTATTATCTTGTTTAATGCTCAAAACAGCCCCGTGAGGTAGGCGCTTTAATTTCCCTGCTTTACAGGGGAGGAAAATGGGGCACAGAGAGATGAAGTAATTTGTCTAAGGCCACACAGCGTGTTGTAGTGAAGCTGGACTGGAACTCAGGCAGCTAGAATCCAGAACTTGAGCTCTAAGCTCACCACATGGAGATTCTATTGTGGCTCATGTAGCCACAATGCCCAGCCTGGCGCCTACCATGCGGATAACTCTCAACAAATGCTTGTTTTCTCCCTCTGCTTCCTTCCAATGACGCAGGGATGGATGTAAAGGCCAGCCGGGCCAGTCCTGGCAGACGGCCAAGGGAGCTGGAGATTAGGGGCTTGTCACTGGCATGGCCGGACTGTGAGAGAAGAGGCAGAGACATTCACTTTGTTGCCTGAGAAACATTCCCCAGGCCTCAGGGTCCAAAGAATGGGTAATGAAAGCGGAATTAGCCTCTGCTGCTCACTGCCCATTCACTGCTCACCAGCGTACACGGCGCAGCCTTTCTTGTCCACCTGGGACGGGCTTGTCTTAGGGACTCCTTTTCTACAAGTTAAGCCTACAAATCACTGCCATGTAGGATGCTGAATTTGGAAGGGGCCTCGGAAGTCGTCTGATTCTCTCCAGGGCCTCACCAGACAGAATTCCCTGGACCCGCTGGAACTCTGGTCCAGGGAAGGGGAGTGAGTCTGAAAGCTTGAAAGAAGAAAACTAGGAAAGGAGGAAGGGCTAAGGGAGGAGGGAAGGAGAGAAATTAGTATTTCCTGAGATTCAGGTTAATTGTGAGCTCACCCCACAATGCTATGCTGAAGTATATTTACCTGCATTTTCCAGATGAGGAAACTGAGGCTCAAGAGAGTCGAAGCAACTTTCCCATGGCCACTGAACCAGTAAATGGCAGAGCCAGGAACTAAACGTCGACCTGTCTCCCTCACTATCCCATATACTTTGCGAAAATCACATGGAGTTAAGAATGGAGCTGATTCTGGACCCCAGATCTCACTGTCCTGTCCCTGTACATGCACCATGCTCCTGTTACCTACCTAGGTGATTCCTAATGACCACCAAGGGACAGGACTTAGGGTCTCGTCTTCAATGCCAGACCTCAGAGCACGACCAAGCAAAGGCCCTGTTCTAAGATGCTGGCATTGAGCCTGTGTGGAGAGAGGTACGGGGTACTGCCAGGTGGGCAATGAGGGGGCACATGTCTCCAGAAGTCCCCTGAACCTGTCTTCATCAGGGAGTCAGAGTGGGCGGTGGGAAATGACAGGCTCTGCACTCAGACTGCTCCGGGTTTCGATGTTGGCTGCATCATATCCTAGCTCTGTGATTTGGGGCAAGATATCCCAATGTGTCCAAGTCTCAAGTTTCCTCCACTGTAAAATGAGGGAATGGTGCTCCTTACAGAGAGCTGCAGGGAAATTTAAACGAGGTTGTATAAGTAAATGTCCAGTATGGGGCTGGCCCACAGTAAGGGCTCAGTGACTACTGGTTCCCTTCTAACACCCACTGGTGACATGGGATATACAGTCAGTATCTTGCCTGAGAAAAGGAGCCCAGCGGAAGCGAGCACCGGCAATGTCTGTCGCTATCTATTTCTCTCTCTCCTGTCCTCCTCTCCCTTCAGGTTCCCTCCTCCTCCCAGTCTGAGTTGCCAGGGAGCAGAATTATTCCGGCCCAACCCCTACAAGCTGTGTGGCCCTGGACATGTCTCAGAGCCTCCAATTCTGCATCTGTCAAATGGGGAGATTTTAAGACCCAAGGGCAGGTCTAGAGAACCAACACCCAGGGGACCAACAGATTCCTTGGGAAGAGGAAGAACAGAGCTCCTTCCTTTACACCCTGAGCCTGGGGGTGTCCTTCTAGTGCTTTGGGTAAAGGAAGGGTCACTGTGGAACCTGCTGACCTACTACCCAACGGGACTCACTGACCCCTTTCAACCTAGATATCCTGGGCCAGGAGAGAAGGAACAGACACGCCTGCCTTAGAAACCTTTGGGGCCATTCTGGAGCGTGAAGAATGTGAGGTGTGTAGAGGGTGACTGTGAGGATGTGTGTGTGTGTCTGTGTGCGAGCACATGTGCATGTGAAGCAAACTTTGGGGTTCCTGCAACTTTGAGCTGTCCTGAGTCAGACTCCAGGTGCAGCTGCCACTTATGTGGGAAGGGGGCTCTGGAGCACCCAAGTGCTGGGAGCAGAGGGCAGGGCTCACGCAGCAGCTGCTCTGTACCGATGCACGTTGGCGGGCTGGGCTGCCAGAAGAATCTGTTCTCGATCTTCACGCAGCTGATCTCTGCGCTGCCCTGCAGGGCGTAGCCGGGGTCGCACTGGAACACTGTGGAGTCGCCAGCTTCCCAACTGTCACCACTCCGGCTCCCGTTCTGCGGGACCCCAGGGTCATTGCAGGACGTTGCTGTGGACACTGGGACAAGAAATCAGAAGAGGAGGTGGGGTTGCCTAGGTGTCGGCCATACAGTGAGGCTCCCAGTGCATCACCCCCACTGATCACATCCACCACCTCCCAACAGTGTCGTCACCTGTGGCAACAGTGCCACCATCTCCGTTCTCACCCCGTTACCTTTACTTCCTCCATCACCACTGTGACCGCCACCCATCCTCCTGGCATCTTCACCATCCCCATCAGCCCCGGCATGAGAAACTGAGTGAAGTGTGAGTGCCCTGTTGTGACTGCAGAACTGAGTTCAGCTTGATTTAGTGACACGAGACTGTTACAGAGATAAGTGTTGCAATCTTGTCTAATGCAGGTAACGTGATCTGTATAAGGGAGTGACAAGATAATTAAGTGTAAACTCCAAATTCAATCAGCAAGGGCTGCAAAGGAGTCGGGGGGCTGGCTGCCTGAGTGCTGAGCAGTGGCTGTGACGTCGCATGGAATTTCTCAGGCGGGTGAAAGCCTATTCTCTCTTGCATGACAAACAACCCAAGACTCATCAGACTGGAGCCAAAGAAAAACCTGATGCTTGTAACAAAGCAGAGTTTAAAACAAGCATAAGTAACTGAGATGTATTAAAAAGTCAAAAAAACCTCAGAAATCTGGGAGCTGTGTGTAGTCTACTATCTAAGCCGGTGTAATAATACAAAGCAGATGTTTTCAAAGTGAACACCAGCCCGGCCGGTGTGGCTCAGTGGCTGAGCACTTGAGCCAGGAGGTCATGAATCAATTCCAGGTCAGGGCGCATGCCCAGGACGCGGGCTTGATCCCCAGCAGGGGGCGTGCAGGAGGCAGCCCATCGATGTTTCCCCCTCACTGATGTTTCTCTCTCTCTCCCTCTCCCTTCCTCTCTCTCTGAAACCAATGAAAACATTAAAAATAAAGTGAACACCAAATGAATGATGGAAGGAAGAAATAAATGAATAAACGAGTGAGTGAGGCATGAGAAAGTGCCCCAAAGGAAATGGCGTAAGAGAAAGTCCAGAGAAAGGACTCTGAGGAAGCTACAGCACCCCCGCCGCCTCCCCCGCTCCCACTCGTGTCATCGCTCTCAGGCTGGTCAGCAGGCCCCCGGGACGAGAGGCTCTGAAGGCCACAGGATTAATCATACTCACTCGCTCGGAGGGTCAGGTTTTCTTTAAGCTTTTGGGGAAAATAATTTTTACACCAAAACAAGTGAATTTATTATGGAGTAGAATATAAAATTCATATCAGTTCTTAAGCAGAACCATGAAGCCTCAAAGAGATTTTATGCTTCCTATACCCTCCCGATCTTCTGAAATAGGCCTTCACTCTCTTCTGCTACTACGAGGACTTCAGTGGGAAAGTCCAAGAGGTAGCAGCCCAGGGCAGCTGTACACACTCCTAACACCTAGGACTGTGTGGATGAGTCTGGGGTTACAGTGCCCAGTACCTCATGCCCAATTACACCTACGGCAGTGTACAGTGCGCGAGGCTCACAGCCAGGTCTGGCTCTGCGCCTGTGCTTTTAAGTGACGTTTAATTGGAACACAGGCATGCTCGCTCGCTGCCATATTGTCTATGGCCGCTTTCTGCTGTAATGGCAGAGCTGAGTTGTTACGTCGTATGGCCCACAAAGCCTGAAATACTATCTGGTTTTTACAGAAAAAGTCTGCTGACTACTGGTATATGGTACCCTATCTTGAGCCCTCCCCCTTTCAGATCACATTGTAAAACCTATCCTTTGCTTTTATCCAGTTTTAATTAACACCATCGATGATCTGCTATCACTGTGCTTCAGCATCGCTGCAAAATCTTCTTCCGACAAAGCAGGCTTCCTCCACTCCCCCACTTGCCCCAGGACCTTTGCATCAGCTGGTCCTTCTGCTTGCAATGATCTTGCCATAGGTCCTGTGCCAGCTCCATCTTGTCATCCATCTTCAGCTCCAATATCACCTCCTTAGACAGGCCTCTGTGATCACCTTCTTCTGGGCTCATCCTTTGCCCCCCCCCCATTCAATTTTATCATACTATCCCAATTTGTTCTTTTTACAGCACAATCTGTAATACTCTTGCTAATTTATTTGTTTGCTTCTTTACTGTATATCACTTGTGCATCTCTGTGGGAACAGAAACCTCGGCTGTTTTGCTTCTACCTGTATCCCCAGGGCCTAGAACAGTACTCGGCACACAGTGGTGCGCAGTAAAAACAGACTTAGCTTTCATCTCTAGCTTCCCAGTGCACTGTACGCATGTACATGATTCCTTGGGAAAACAGCTCACTGTTCTGATCACCCTCAGAAAGATTATTTATATAGGAGGCAACAGAGTGCAATGATTGAGAGCCTGGATTTGGGCATCAGACACAGGGATATTGATCCCAGCTAGATGACCTTGCAGGAGAAACTCCTCTGGGCTTTAGAGTCCACATCTGCCACATGGATTAATAATGGTTCCTGGACCTGAAGGTTCCTGGGAACATTATGAGGGAGGGTGTGGTGGAGAACCTAGCCTGGTGCCTGCTCAATAGATGGCAGTGATTATGCCTCCGCTCCCTCAGTGACCCCCTCACCTGTTTTTGTTCTCACTTTCTCTCTTTAATGCTCCTGAATCTGAGCTGCTTGGCACAGCCCCCAGGGAAAGGCTGGATCCACGTGGTGCAGACAGGATGTTGGATGTTACATAGTCATGTTTACTTAATAAAGCCAAGCCGGCACTAATCGTCCCTGGCATTTCTGTAAATCCCCTGTCAAACATACACTATAAAGTTAACATGGGGCAAGCCATTCTCTCTTCCCTAGAGCAGTCCTGTTATTTGCTAACCAATGACAGCAACAGGGAAGGTGACCTTTCCCGAACCTCGGCCACACCCAGAACACTGGCCTTCCTGGAGTCCAGGCTAGCTAGCGTTGCCCACTCCCCTCTCTGCGGATCTAAGCAGAGCCCAGGGTGGCTTGCCCAACCAAAGACACCCTTGAGTGTGAGAAAACCATCCACATATTCGTTCATGTCTCCACATGCCACCTGTTCAGCCGGCAGTGAGTGGCACCTGCCGCATGCGCTCCCGGAGGAGCCTGGCTGCATGCTGCGGCCCCGGCCTCTAAGAGCTTCTGTGGCATGGCAGGGAGGAGGCCAGCTCCAACATAAAGCGGGCTGTCTGCGACTGACAATGTGCTGAGGAAACAGAAGGAAAGTGCTGAAGGTGCTGTCGTCTACAGTAATTTATTCTGAAAGGGGGGATTAGGAAGAAGTGGTAACTGCGGTGAACCTTGAAGGAGGAAAAGCAATTCCAAGAGCTGGGCGATGCATGAGAAAGCAGCCAGAGCTGCTGGGGAAGGCACGGCTCATGAGAGCGCCCAGGGACTCCATCCTACGTGGTCACACTGAGGACGCAGCAGAGGTCAGATAATGCAGATCCACGGGGGGATCTGTGGTACAAGTATGGTTTTTTTTGTTTGTTTGTTTTTTTAAAGCCACTCATTGGTTTGGGCAGAGCCAGAGAAAATACACATCTCATTTAATTATTCATAATACTCCTTTTCCCAGAGAGTGCACTGAGCTGTGTCCTTAGCATTCTACCCTCCTCACTGCTGGGAGATCCTTCTATTGCTTATTCCAGCAATTTTCAAAGTCTGTATCATGAAATGCTAGTCCCTGGAGATGGCTTAGAAAAAAGTCATCCATGGCCAGATATGTCTGGGAATTGTGGCCTACTGGCACCTCCTGAATGTATCTGCCTTAGCAGACTGGAAGTTCTGAGCAGTCCCAAATTACAGTAACCTCTTTAGGTCTGCCTCAACCTAAGGACTTTCCCAACATTACTTGACCGTCAAAACTTTTCTTTCCTGCAATACCAATTAACAGGCCATGAAACTCCAGGGAACGGATGCTGGGAAATGCTTATCTAAAGTGACTTCCTTGTTGTCCCATGCTGGGACCCTAATCTCAACAAGTTCAGTGTTACTCAGTGGTCCTCAGGGACTCTCTCCATGATTTCAAGGAAGATGATTCCCAACGATCCCTGTAAGAAGCTGTTCCTCACTAGGCTGGAAGCCTGCATTATTAGTGCTAAGTGGGCAAATTAATGAGGACAGAGGACCTTGATGCTGGAGACTCTCGTTGCCCCCCCCACTGCTAAATGCTCATCTCTGTGGGGGAGATGGCTCATAAAGGAGCTAGGAGGAGGGTCTGTAACCCCATTATAGCCCCACTGGTGCCAGAGACTACCCAACCGCCCTTGGCTGATACACCCGGGTGAGGGCATGAGGTCAAAGCCATGGCACAGGTGCCACGCGGACTTGCTCTGGAATCACCATGGAAACCCCCTCACCAGACAGGCAGTGGAGTCAAGGTGGTAATGAAGACAGCTGCTGTATAATAAACGAGAGCACCGACCGCGGCAGAGTCACTTGTGCAGGGAGATGAGTGACGGGAGAGGCACTTCAGGGAGATGAGATGATGCGTCACAGGGAGGGGCAGGACCAATCACAGGAATTATTGAATATTGGGACTTGGCGTCTGAGCGTTGCCCATTTTCGGCAGCTCTCTGTCACGCTCCTCCACAATTGGCTACGGCAGTACATAATTAATTGAATTTAGATTACTCGAATTTGGCTTCCAGACCTTCTCTGAACGAAGATATGGAACGTGCGCCACGTTGGATCAGCTCTTCCATAACAGCACCCAGGAAACCACTGTTGACCCAACCTCCCTGCCTCCCTCTGCACCCCCTGTTTCAGCTGCAGGGACAAGCCTCTGTCCCTGAACCTATTATCCTGCCTCTGCACCTGTTCATGCGCTCTTTACACCCAGGGTGACTTTTCTCTCCTTTTCATCAAATGGGGGTCCACACAGGCTCCCAAGTCCAGCTCAGTGACAAGACCAGCTCCAGGTCACAGTTGACTCCTCCCTGCTGGAAACACTGTCTTTTCTCTTGTAACTGCTACTTGTCCTCAGGCCTGAGCTTGGGTATTATGGTTCCTGAAACACCTTCCTGGGCGCCCCAAGGTGAGCATCCTAGTTTATATTTCTTCTCCAGATGCTCATCAGTTTGTATGTAAGTGTCCATGAACCTGCCTGTCTCCCCCACTCCCTGCACCGAGTATGAGCAGCATGGGTATCTGAACAAGTGCTAACCTTGTACCAGGCACATAGCAGATGCCCAGTGAGTATCTTTACAGGAGTGGGAGCTGGAGGGAAGGAGGGGCTCCAGGGAGGAGGGAGGAGGCTGGTGCAGCAGGACGGATGCAGAGGGGCTGGTGGAAGGCAGCACAGACCTGAGAACTGAACGGCAAAGCCCTGCTTGCTGGTGAAGAAGTCGGTGCTGAACTGCAGAACGACTGAGTTGAAAGTGCTGTGCAGGTCCTTGGGCAGGGCTGCGCCGCTGAGCTCCTTGAGCAGGACCCCGCTCTCCACCGGCCCGTCCCAGACGCGCAGCACGTCGTGGACCTCCTCCGTGTCGAACACCAGGAAGTGCAGCCTGGGAGAGAGAGGCAGCAGTCAGGGGGCCGGCTGCTTCTGTCCAGGGGCTCCAGCCAGGGGTCAGAACCCTAAGAAAGACTCGCAGGAGCGTGGCCCGTGTGGCTAAGCAGTGAGCATTGACCTAGGATCCAGGAGATCGTGATCTGATTCCCTGTCAGGGCACATGCTTGGGTTGTGGGCTCGATCCCCAGTAGGGGACGTGCAGGAGGCAGCTGATCAATGACTCTCTCATCACTGATGTTTCTCTCTCTCCCTCTCCGTTCCTCTCTCTGAAATCAATAAAGATATATTTAAAAGAAAAAAAAAAAAAGACTTGCAGGAAGGGAGAGAAGGCAATATCTGGCAGCATCCTCAGAGTTCCCATCCAGCTTGCCCCTCCCCCTGGAGTCACTAGTGATGGGGACAAGGGTTGGGGTGCAGATTTTGAGCGTCTCGTTGGTTATCACGAGCTTCATGTTGCCACTGCCAAGCCCCACCTGCCGCCTCAGTTCTACACAGCAGCCCCCAGAGCCGCTCCTGAGTCCATATCCGTAACATTCCAGGGTGTGAGGGGGATGCTGAGAAGGTAAGGTCTAGGCAGGATAAAGGATACAGGTAAAAAACAAGTAATTAAATCACAGCAAGACATTTGTGCGTATTCACACACAAATTATAAAGTTAAAACGCAGAGGCAAAAGACCTGGAGCTGTCTACACAATATTAAAGACTAAAAAGTTGGAGGACTAACACTGCCTGATGTGAAGACTTACAGCTACAGTCATCAAGACAATGTGTGACTGGGGAAACGACAGACAAGCAGATCGATGGAACAGAACAGAGAGCCCGAAAACAGACGCATGTAAATATAGTCGACGGATCTCTGACAAAGGAGCAAAGGCAACGCAGTGGAGCAACGACAGTCTCTTCAACAAATGGTGTTGGAACAATGGGACATCCACATGCAAAAAAATGAATCTAGGCACAGACCTTACACCCTTCACAAAAGTTAACTAAAATGGATCACAGACCTAAATGTACATAAAACTAAAACTCCCAGAAGATAAGACGGGAAAACCTAGCTGACCTCGGGTATGGTGTGACTTATTAGATACAAAACCAAAGACATCATCTATGAAAAAACAACTGATAAGCGGGAAGGCAGCAACTGATAAGACTAAACATTTCTGCCCTTCAAGAGACAATGTCAAGGAAATAAGGAGCCAGGCCAGCCACAGACTGGGGGAACATACCTGCAAAAGACACACCTGATAAAGGACACCAAGAATTCTTAAGACTCAACAACAAGAAAACAAACACCCCAATTTAAAAAATGGGTTAAAAGCCTTAACAGACACATCACCAAAGAGGATACACAAATAGCAAATAAACATATAAAAAGATGCTCCCCATCATGTGTCATCAGGGGAATGTATATTAAATCAGCAATGAGATACCACTACACACACCCAGTACAACGGCCAGAATCTGAAACACAGACACCAGATGCTGACAGGGATATGAACAGGGCCTCACTCCTTGCTGGTGGGAATGCCAAAGGACGCAGCAACTTTGGAAGATAGTTCAACGGTTTGTTACAAAACCAAACGTACCCTTAACACACAATTCAGCAATCGCATTAGCCAAATGAATGGAAAACGCTGTCCACGCAGACACCTGAACTTGGATGTTTATAATGTTTTATTCATAACTGCCAAACCTTGGAAGCAACCAAGATATCCTCTAGTAAGTGAATGAATGAACAAACTGTGGTATATCCAAAAACTGGAATACTATTCAGCACTGAAAGGGAATGAGCTATTAAGCCATGAAAAGGAAACTTGAATGCATATGGCCAGGTGAAAGAACGCATTCGGAAAAGGCTACATGTGGTATGATTCCAACTATATGACATTCTGAAAAAGGCAAAACTACGGAGGCAGTAAAAAGGTCAGTAGTTGCCAGGGACTGGATGGGTGGGAGGGGTGAACAGGTGGGGCATGAAGGATTTTCAGGGAGGTGGAAATACTCTTATGATACTATAATGGTGAATACGTTATTACACATTTGTCCAAATCTACAGAATGTGCAACATCAAGAGTGAACCCCAATATAAACTATGGACTTTGGGTGATGATGATGGGTCCATTTGGTTCATCAACTGTAATAAAGTCCCACTCTCACGGGATGTCGATAATAGGGGAGGCTTACATGTGTGAGGGCAGGGGCTATCTGGGAAATCTCTGTGCCTTCCTCTCAATTTTGCTGTGAACCTAAGTCTGCCCTAAAAAACCAAGACTTAAAAAAAATGAGGGGGTTGCTAAAGGACAGGGGTTGCTATGGGTGCCTGAGAAGCTGGCCCAGCTGTGGCGGGAGCCAGGGTGAGCCTGCACCTTGGTGCCCAGAGCAGAACTCTGGCTGTTAGCTATGCCCCGTCCTCCCTCAGCTAACCCCTCACAACCCGAGGAGACCAGGCAGGGCCCACGTGCGGGGGGCCCGCGGCCACAGAGCTCAGTAGGAATCGGAAATCTCCCAGAACAAGCGGCTCCAGCTGCCAAAGCTGCCTTGGTTACGAGCCTGCGTGACGCTCTCTCTCCTAATCAATGTGCATTCTGGAATCATTTTAGACTTACATGAAGTGGTGAAGATAATGCAGAGAATTCCTATAGGCCCCTCATCTCTTCTTCCATTATTAACATCTCACATTTCCCTGGACCTTTGTCACAACAAAGAAACCAACCTCGGTAAGTGACTTCGAACTCAACTCCAGGCTTTATTTGGATTTCCCCAGTTTTCCCACTACTATCTTTTTTCTACTCCAGGCTCCATCCATCCATCACTATCTCCTTTTAAAAATACCTTTTTAAATTATAAAAATTTTAAGACATGTTCAAGCCAGGAAAAAAGCAAACAATATACAGATGTATTAAATTTTTAAAAAGTTTCTCTCGCACAAACCAATCTCCTTCTCCAGAGCCTTTCGCTTAGTCTTAGTTTGGGTGCATATCCTTCCAGACTTTTTTCAGTGTGCACAAACACATTTCCCCGCAAATGGAACCATATTTTACATATTTTTTTGTAACTTTCTTCCTTCACTGCATAGAATATTATGAACACATCCATTTGTTTTTTTTTTACAGAAAAGAACGCTGTTCTATTTCACTATGGTGTTAGCATTATATTTCATATTAAGTTTGCAAGGAACACTCTGTCTTTATGTAGCTTTGCGCATTTCTGTTAATATTTCAGTTGATGTGTAGTAATACTCTTTTTTTGGGGGGGAAATGGGTATATATTTTTAAAATGTTAAGTATCGCTAAATTATTCTCTTAAGTGACTGCATCATTTTACATTCCCACCAAACAGTATATTTGTTATTAATATTTTTTCCTGGTATCTGGTGTCCTTTCCTTTTACATTTTGTTTGTNAGTATATTTGTTATTAATATTTTCTCCTGGTATCTGGTGTCCTTTCCTTTTACATTTTGTTTGTCTATTTTGGCATAGAAGTGATTCATGTTATGTAATCAGCCATGTTAATCCTTTAAGGATACTGGGTGTCATATGATGCTTGGGCCAACCCTCCTCCCCCAATGATTCAAAAGCAAGACTAATATTTTCCCAGAACGTGTATAGTTTCATATTTTGGAGGTTTATAGGTTCATTATTTTTCCAAATAGACACTGAGTTGTTCCAACACCGGTGTAAAGTTGCCTCTCCGATATTTTGACTCTAAAACGCTCTGTTTACTTCCTCCTCAGCATTTATTATAGCGGACACTTTGGTTATTCATGTGTTTGCTGCTCGTCTCCCCAACTAGAAGACAATCTCCGCGAGCGCCAGCCCAGGCCTGTTCCTTACCGTACCCCGGTGCCCGGCTGTGCCCGGCTGTGCCCAGCCGCTGGACGGCGCCCGTGAGCACCGGTGGAGTGAAGACCCTCGTAACTGAATGACCCAGGTTCTCTGCTGGTCTGAAATGTCGCCTTGGCCGTGGGGCCGATTTTAGACTCTCCTCAGCTCCAGGGCTCCCTCCTTTGCCTATCTGGATTATATTTGTGACACCATGAACTCAGCTACTCAGCTCTCTTGGGTGTTCATAGTCTCATAATTTGATATTGTTACAGGGCAAGCTCTCTTTCATATTTTCTCCCCAAAATTTCTTAACTTCCCAGATTTATCTTTTCAGATAAACTTTACAGTGATCAAGTTCCAAAATATCCCATCGATATTTTAATTGGAACTGAACACATTTATTGATTAACTGGGGCAAATTTATATCCTTGTGGTACTAATTTTCCTCAGCCAGGAACACTGTAGATATCTTAACTTACTTAGGGCTTAGTTTATGTACTTTGGTGGTTTTATGATTTTCTTGTTACATTTCTTATTAAATTCTTTTTTTTTTTGGTTTTGGCTTCATTGTGACTGGGATTTAATTTTTTGTTACATATTTACTCTTGAACATATATGCGTGTGTGTTTCTTGTTTTCAGCCACCAGTTAGCTTACTAGGATTCAAGTGAGTCTCTCGGACCTCCTAGACGGTCCCTGTTGTGGGCATAGGTGGAGACTCCTCAGTACCCGAAGCTGCGTGAGTTTTCTCAGTGGTTGTGTTCTAGCTCCCGTGGCAAGCCTCCCCCTGAGGGCTTCCAACAGAGTGAAGAAGATGGGCTGCTCTTCAAGGTGTTTACAGGGAACAGCCTGGCAGACGGGGGCCCACACGGGGAGGAGGGGCCCCCCAGGAAGCAGAGCACTCGCTGCTGTCCCAGCATGCCCCCCCCCCTCGGAAAACTCCATGCGCGGAAACTGGCCGCAGCAGGAGCAGGCCAAGCGGTTAGCTGTGCGGCGCTGCTGCTCTTGTGCTCAAAAAAGAGAGGTTCAGGGGGGCCAGAATTGTCAGGGAAGGAAGCAAGAAATGAGACTTGAATTTTGGGTGGCATTAAGGGGAGTGTGTTTTCTCTGGATTAAATAACATGAGACGAGACACAGAGGCAGAGGGAAGGTTAAGGTGCCTGGGAATAAA